GATTCTATCTATCTATCTATCTATCTATCTATCTATCTATCTATCTATCTATCTATCTATCTATCTATCTTCTGTGTCCTTCAGTTCATGTTCTGTAATAAGTACGTGCCCTTGTGTTTATGTGTCTGTATGAAATGTATGAATGTATTATGTATTTTGTATTTAAAATGCTTTTCATAATAATATGTATAGTTCAGAAGCATGAGACAACACACACACACACACACACACACACACACACACACACACACACACACACACACACACACACACACACACACACACACACACAAAACAACAACATCATTCTACTTTTGCAGAAACGCGCCATATTATTCATAACTTGGAGCATGCCCATAATGTTCGACCAATTTTCAAGCATTTTCTTTTAAAGTAAAGGTTCGTAACCCCTATTATCATTATGCCATTTCTACGGTATTTCCCCTTCTTTCCCTCCATTATAAAGGGAAGTGGTTTTGAATGGAGGGAAAGAATAAAATCACCCTCTTATAACTGAACGAACTCAAGATGGTTAGACTTATAAATTGAAATAAATTGGAGAGAAAAAAACACGTTCACCCTAATGGCAATAGTAAGACACTGAAGCTAATTCTTTAAGATCAACGGAGTGACATTATACGGGATGAGACGAGAGGGAAGATTTGAGTATCATTAACATTAAATCTGGTTATCATCTCCCTTTTCTTTTCAGGTTTAGTCATCATCTATAGCACGAAAAAATGTGTCCGTACAGTTGAATGATATCTGGGTGCTGCCAGGGAACTTGTACTGCGAATATTTCTTATAGAGCAGTCAAAAGTTCGTAGCGCAACTTATCTTCAGATATCTTTTTAACGGATGAATCAATGTCATCCATACTTTGCACAGCAGTTTGTATTTTTTGTCTTAACTAAATCATATTGTCCCAGAACAATTGGGGCGGGATTTAAAAACTATTCTTCATAAATTTATATAAAATACTTGAAATCTCTGTCACACGTAAAAAAGGTATTGTTCCAACACTTCCCGCTTCTCATATCAATGACAATTTTTACTTGCAAAACTAGTTACAAGAAATCATGTTTATAGCGACCAATTTTTGCACTAATGGTTATCAAAACATACGTCCAATAAACATAATGTCTCAATTATAAATACATGACGGACTTGCTATTAAAAGCAATATTGCCTCAGCTGTAAACATTTAAAAATCTGTAGAACCCACCCACTTGGATTGTTTATCAGTATTTATTAAGGAATTTTCTAGAATACAGCTTGCAGGTATTTATTAAAAAGTTGATCTGTTAAGACAAATTGATACAACTCATTGTGCAAAAATTGGAGAACCTGTGTTCGATAGTTGAGGAGACATTTGACAATAAGTCGCGCCACGAATTTTTAACCTCACTATAGTGCAAGTCTATGTGCTTCCCAAACCCCCACCCCACCCTCCCACTCCCGAACTTTTTTTTCGTAAAATTGACGTATACCATTAAACTCTGAGGTGTTTGGAACACAGGAAAATCCGGAACTTCCATTGCTTGGTGAATATTTAACAGCATACATTATGAAGAGAACATTTATAGTGGGTGGTTGGCGGGTACTCTGGTGTGGTTTGTTACTTCTTTCCTATATAAACATTTTTCGTCCTTATCTTTCCTTCTTTTTGTGTATGTTATTCTCTTATAACACCTCTAATCTTCGACACTCATATATATGACCTTATTGTGTTGCAAGTGTCGTAAGACTCTTACTAACACTAATAAAAGGACCGTTACAACGTCGGGTTTTTAAGAGGATTATATTTCCAAAACTAAAATGCTGGAATGCTACATCTTCCCTATATTCCTATATGGAGATGAGACTTGGACTGCGACAAAGAAATAAGAAAAAATAGCAGCGTCTGAAATGTGGTGCTACCGTAGAATGGCCAGAGTAAGTTGAAAAGCGAAAAAGACGAACAGTGAGGTATGTCAAATTCTCCTCACAAGACAAACCCTGCTGGATAAAATAAAGTTTAGCAAAATACAATACTGTGGACACTTAGAACGACATGACACCACTGTGAAAGAGGTGGTTAAAGGAAGGATGTGGGGCAGAAGAGCAAAGGGAAGACAAAGAGTAACTTGGATGGACAGCGTAAAAGCATGGGCAGGCCTGGATAATATGTTCGAATGTGCAACGCAGCTCGCGATCGTGAAGGATGGAGGGTCAGTACACGCCAACCTCGGAGTCAGAGATCACACCCCTAGATCAGATGAAATTCCCAAAATAATGTTTATTTAGCCACCAACCTGTCGATGGAGTCCATGGACACATGAGACA